TAGCAACTCCTCTTTTCCTTTTCTTTCCCAGTTACTTTAGTTGTGTGGGTTAACCACAGTTGGAATTTTTAGGAGTCTGACTTGAAGGTCACTTGTGTGCACCAACCTCACGGTCAGAGCTCCTCATGACCCAGGGAAGGTGGGAATATGAGGGGCAGGTGACAGAAGTGGTGGGTTCACTGCTGAAGGGCCTGGTGGGGCAGTAGGACTTTGTAGGAGGTTGCTGAAGGACTGAGCTGCCAGGAAAGCTGTGGTTAGTGGTGGTAAGAGAGTGGGCAGCTTGACTGGGTGTGGTCTGAGGTGGGCTAGAAGTCACTGAAACTTTTCTGAAGGTGAGGAGGTCAAGGGGATGAGACGCCAGATCAATGGAAAGACCATTTGTGGGGAGCTGAATCCCAAGATTTATGACTATATTGGTGTCACAAAGCATGGGCAGGGCAGTCTCAGCTGCGGGACCACAGGGCACCCTGAGTGCCAGCATACCCTTCATAGCACGGGGGCAGGTGCTGCACAATGACCAGCCTAAAGGTGTAGATGTGGACCAGATAGTCCCAAGCTACCTTCAAGTGCAGAGACAGAATAGAAAAGATGACGATGGTGGTGAGAAAATTCTTTTTTTTTTTTGAGACAGAGTCTCAAGCTGTCGCCCTGGGTAGAGTGCCATGGCGTCACACCTCACAGCAACCTCCAACTCTTGGGCTTAAGCGATTCTCTTGCCTCAGCATCCCAAGTAGCTGGGACTACAGGTGCCCCCACAAGGCCGGCTAGAGAAATTCTTTAAAGTGATTTTGTGACTAAAAACTAACGGGCTTGGCTTCTTATTGGCTATAAATGATACTTCCCTGTTGGTATAGCCACTGATTTTGCAGTGAGTGCTGAGCACTGTGGACAGTATTTTGAAGGGGCTCTGGACTCTCTGAAGAGTGAGTTTTCTGTCCTAATGGGCAGTCTGGTTACTGGCTGATCTCGTACCTGTGTGGGCTTTACAGCCTAAGAGTTTCCTAAGCCCCTCTAAAGTGGGGACGCAACCTCCTAATTCTGCCTCCTGTGGGTACCATGCTAAAGCTTCTTGTAGGCTCTATGGGGGGTTAAGAGTAAGTGTCCAAGCTCGTGGTTCTCCACTTGAGCAGCTCCCCTGCCTGGCCTCCCTCTTCTCTGGCACAGCCATCTAGCAAGCCTGGGTGGGTGGCGCTGGTGTCCACAGTGCCCTGCCCTCAGCCCCATGGACTTCTGGGCACCCCACTGCATGGCTCCCTCTCACTAATGTCTTGTCTCGAACCTTCAGCTGCCACAAACTCTGACCTCAGCTTCTTCAGCCAGCAGAGTACTATATTCTGCTGGGGAAACTTTCTTGGCCAAGCACAAGGCAGTCAGGGGAGTCACATTGCTGACGTGCTATAGTCTTGTGCTGCCTGAATGGAGCTGTCTCAGAGTTTGGAATATTCTTATGGCAGGAGGGTTAGGCTGGTACCAGTTCTATAGTCACTGCTGGATGGACTTTAATACCTTGCTGACTATTGTGAGTCTCCTGGAGAGGAGCATCCTATGCAGGGTTCACCCTTGTGAGGGACTCTCACCTCACAGAGCTTCTGTAGGGGAGCACACACTGCAGTTGGGAAACCAAGATGTCTTTGAACCCTGATCAGAAAGACTGGGCAGCGCCTGTGGCTCAGTGAGTAGGGCGCCGGCTCCATATACTGAGGGTGGTGGGTTCCAACCCGGCCCTGGCCAAACTGCAACAAAAAATAGCTGGGCGTTGTGGTGGGCGCCTGTAGTCCCAGCTACTCAGGCTGAGCAAGAGAATCGCCTAAGCCTAAGAGCTGGAGGTTGCTGTGAGCTATGATGCCATAGCACTCTACCAAGGGCAACAAAGTGAGACTCTGTCTCTAAAACAAACAAACAAACAAAAAAGGGAAGTGAGTGGGCCTTGGACTCCTCACCAAAACAAAAGGCTGTGGCTTGAGACCTCTGGAGCTCAGACTGGTGCCCTCCTGCCTAGTGCCTCACGGGGAGGCAAAGTAGGATAAATTCTTTTTTTTTTTTTGAGACAGAGCCTCAAGCTGTCCCCCTGGGTAGAGTGCCATGGCTTCACTGCTCACAGCAACCTCCAACTCCCCGGCCCAAGTGAGTCCCCTGCTTCAGCCTCCCAAGTAGCTGGGATCACAGGCGCCCACCACAACACCTGGCTATTTTTGGGTTGCAGCCATCATTGTTGTTTGGCGGGCTGGGCTGGATTAGAACCCGCCACCTTAGGTGTATGTGGCTGGCGCCCCAGCCGCTTGAGCCACAGGTGCCGAGCCAGGGTAAATTCTTACATGCTGGCAAAATCTATCTATTACACTTCCACAAGCTGAGTTGGCCATGTGGCTAGTGCAAAGTCTGCAAGATTAGAATTCCAGAGGAAGAATGCCAGGCACGGCCAGCAGGTGCTCAGTTAACAGACCATGCTAAGGTGGAGAGGCACTAAAATGATGCACACACAGGACTCAACATTTTTACCTTACTACATTAAAAAACTATGTTCCTTTAATAAAAGGAGCAATATTACCCTGTATGTAAGAAACAAATTTTTTTTGTTTTTTTTGAGACAAGAGTCTTAAGCTGTCGCCCTGGGTAGAGTGTTGTGGTGACATAGTTCACAGCAACCTCAAACTCTGAGGCTTAAGTGATTCTCTTGCCTCAGCCTCCCAAGTAGCTGGGACTACCGGCGCCTGCCACAGTGCTCGGCTGTAGTTGTCATTGTTGTTTGGCAGGTCTGGGCTGGATTTGAACCCACCAGCTCTGGTGTACGTGGCTGGCTCACCCTAGCTGCTGAGCCACAGGCACTGAGCTAGAAATAAGACTTTTTTTTTTTTTTTTTTTTGAGACAGAGCCTCAAGCTGTCCCCCCCGGTAGAGTGCCGTGGCATTACAGCTCACAGCAACCTCCAACTCCTGGG